TGTGGTTGTGGTGGGGGGTGGGGAAAAGAGAGAGAGAGAGAGAGAGAGAGAGAGAGAGAGAGAGAGAGAGAATTAAGAAGAAAATTTCATGAACTTGAGAGGGAATAGCTGGAGAAGAGTGTGAGTGGGACTGATGTAAATACGTAACCATGTCTAACAACCTCAAAATGGTAATAAAATAAACGTTTAAAAAATAAAACAGAGGCACACAGAAGCTACAACAGGAGTTTGAGACTGCCCCCAAGTAACTAAGTGCCTGCCTGCTGGGTTACTTTGCTTCCCTCTTCTTAGCTTAATTTACTTGTCTGTAGAGCAGTGAGAATAGCAGATATAGCCTCATATGGTCACTATGAGGAGTGCTTGATAACATTAGTAAATGTTATGGGAGAGGTGGCTTGTAGAAGGCTCTGCTTCTCTGTACAGAGGACTATGTTTTAAAAAATGCTAAGATGCCTTCGATGCGGAATGTCTCTAACATTTTAGAACACAAAAGAAAATGCCTATGGCAGTGCTTTACTTGAAAAGAGGCTTAATGGTGCAGAAAGCTGAGAATTCCCAGGACACTTGTCTCAGTGACAGAGGAACAATCTCCAGCTCATGGCACTTCTGTTTGGAAGAGGATCTAGGCTAAAACTCAACAGGAAAAAGATGAGCATGGATTATTTCCAATGTAGTAGGAGCACTTTTCTTTTAAACAATGTATATTTTATAAAGTAAATTATGAATATGCTAAACAAGGTCACTGTAGAGCTACTACTGAAACAAGTCAATGTTCATAATACAAAATAATTTACTATTTACACCCAGGTCCACTAATATATAAAACCCATTGTACTGCATGTTGAAAAGGCTAAATACAGTTATTACCTTGCGTTTTAGATACTAAGGTTAACTGTTTAGTAATCCCAACACTGAAGACTTTCAGGCCCAAGAGATAAGTGGGCCTACACAAGCACACATACACCACACAAGTGTGTAGGGGTAGGCCTCAATGCACCTTCCACAGTAACCCCAGCCTACATCTTATGTCACATCAAATCAGGGGGAGGCCATCAGGAAAAACCTGCTTAACTTGAAGTTCACCTGTCCACACTGCATATAAGTACCTTGAAGGCATTTTCCTTCCCTGTTTTGTTTGCCCCTCAGAACTGTTCCTCAGGTTGCCTTCTTGATAATGTCTATACCCATGGGGACTGTGTTCTCTCCTTGTGCTCTATTCACCCTGTATTCACCTTAAGGACACTAACCATATTATGCTGTCACCTGCATTCACTCAGGTGGACTCTGTCTAGTGACAGGACTCAGGCTTTGAGTCACCAGATGGGAAGCAGCTTAATTTCTTAGGCTGGCATGTTTCCAACCCTATGACCAAGCACAGAAAGTCTGCCTCCCCATTATAAAAACAGGGTCAGGTGGGAGCCAACTGTGTGAGGGTAACAAAGTGTCACCTCAGATCTCATAGAGAAGTCTGTGCTTCCCAAAAGTGAAGGCACCATGCTCAGCAAACTGGTACAAGGCAGACCCAAGGAGCTATAGTTAGTTACTAAGTTGAGATGCTCAGGTTCTGGGGGAGGAGTGGCAGCTAGGCTCAGGGGCCAGTGATAGAAGATTGTTTCTCTATAGTGCAGCCTTGTTAAAAATTCTCATAACCTGTTTGTAAGGGACACCTTACATCACCCCAC